TCTCGGATGGATAGGTCACTCTTGGATCCTCTCACAGAACGGAGCATGTGTCATTTGTGGGACTCACTGCAACAGTGATGCTGCTGCTTGGTTAGTACTGTTGCTCCACTTAACCAAAGCTTCTGGAGGACAGGAACTGCATCTGACTCACTCTCTGCCATATCCAAGCACTCCGCATGGAGCATGACACTTAGCTGCTCATTAAACTCTTACTGAATACATGAATGGTGAATTCATGAGTGAGGTTTACTTGGACACACTGATGTCCTGAATGGGCTGTTCAATAGCAGTTGGGTGTAGGAGTTAGGTTCACATTTTGATGGGATGACAGATTAAGAAGTTTGTTACTATAAGTGAAGAGGAGACCTTGGGGTGGGGTGAGATGGTAGGGGAGCTTGGCACTCCACGGGCTGCCCTTGACTTTGCTCTGTACTTCGAAGGATGCAAAATTCAAGCGTCCTGGCTCCTTGCGCAGCTACAAGGTTCAGCAGCCATTCCTGCCACATGGATAGAGGTCGAAGGTCCAAAATAAGGAAGGGGTCAAATCCCTTTGCTCCCTTGCTTCCCTTCCTCACTATAACCTGGGACACTGACAGACAGACCTGGGATCAGATGAGAAATGAAGAGAGGCCCAGGAGCTTCACATATGCAAGGGTAGGAGGCAGGCAGATGCCGGACCTGTTCAGCCTAGAGGTGCTTGCGCAGGTATAGGAGTTCATGCAGGTACAGGCCAGAGACAAAGCTATGGCCTCCAAGGATTCTTAGGGAGGCAGATCTCTTGTGTAAGGAAGAACTCTCTTTGTTCCAAGCCATCCAACAATGAAACTGGTAAGTAGTAAGCTCCCCATCACCATGAAAGACCTACCCATGGGGCTGCTGTTGGAAAGCCCTAGTGGAATAAGGGAGATGGAACCCAGATGACCTTTATTTTTTATTTTATTATTTTATTTATTTATTTTGATACACAGTCTCGCTCCATTGCCCAAGCTGGAGTGCAGTGGCGCAGTCTTGGCTGACTGCAACCTCTGCCTCCCTGGTTCAAGCAATTCTCCTGCTTCAGCCTCCCAAGTAGCTGGGATTACCTCCCAAGTAGCTGGGTGTGCCACCATACCCAGCTAAATTTTTTTGGTATTTTTAGTAGAGATGGGGTTTCACCAGGTCAGCCAGCCTGGTCTCGAACTCCTGTTCTCAGGTGATCCACCCACCTTGGCCTCCCAAAGTGCTGGGATTACAGGCATGAGCCACTGCACCCGGTTTATTTTTATTTTTTATTTATTTGTTTTATTTATTTATTTATTTTGAGATGGAATTTCGCTCTTGTTGCCCAGGCTGGAGTGCAATGGCGTGATCTTGGCTCACCGCAACCTCCGCCTCCCGGCTTCAAGCAATTCTCCTGTCTCAGCCTCCTGAGTAGCTGGGACTACAGGTACGCACCACCACGCCCAGCTAATTTTTGTATTTTTAGTAGAGACGGGGTTTCACCATGTGGACCAGGATGGTCTCGATCTCCTGACCTCGTAATCCGCCCACCTCGGCCTCCCAAAGTGCTGGGATTACAGGCGTGAGCCACTGCATCCAGCCTATTTTTATTTATTTAGAGTTTCTCGCTGTGTCACCCAGGCTGGAATGCAGTAGTGCAATCTTGGCTCACTGCACCCTCTGCCTCCTGGGTTCAGCCTCCTGAGTAGCTGGGATTACAGGTGTGCACCACCACGCCTGGCTAACTTTTTGTATTTTTAGCAGAGACGGGTTTCACCATGTTGGCCAGGCTGGTCTTGAACTACTGACCTCAAGTGATCCACCTGCCTTGGCCTTCTTCCAAAGTGCTGGGATTACAGGCATGAGCCATGGTGCCTGGCCCTTAGATGACCTTTAAAGTGCAACTCTCCTTTTATAAGATGATGTTTTTGCTTTAGGACAGGAAGTCATCATTAAATATTTGCTCTACCTGCCTAAGCAATGGAAAGATAGCTGCCACCTGCCTCAGAGGCATCCCTGGGACTGTGCAGTTTCCTGAGGAGAAACGGAAGGATTTGAAGCTGAGTCAAGGATCACTGGTGGCCTCAGGTTGGTCTTGGCCACAGATCTGGGGCTTCTCTTGGTCTGTAGAGGTAACTGGCTGGCTGGTGTCCCCAAAGAGATCTGTTCTTTTTTTTTAATTTATTTTTTTTTTTTTTTTTGTAGAGCTGAGATCATGCTATATTGCCCAGGCTGGTCTCTTAACTTCTGGGCTCAAGTAATCTTCCTGCCTCAGCCTCCCAAGTGTTAGGATTACAGGTGTGAGCTATCGCACCTGACTGGGGCTGTCCTCAAACAAGAATCCTTCCCCTTGTCATTGTAATATTCTTGCAACTTATCTGTAGGCATGAAATGTTTCAAAATAAAGTTTTTCTATTTTTTTCTTTTTACATAAAATAAAGTTTTTCTTTAAAAAATAAACACAAGGGCTGGGCGCAGTGGCTCAAGCCTGTAATCCCAGCACTTTGGGAGGCCGAGGCGGGTGGATCACGAGGTCAAGAGATCGAGACCATCCTGGTCAACATGGTGAAACCCTGTCTCTACTAAAAACACAAAAAATTAGCTGGGCATGGTGGCGTGTGCCTGTAATCCCAGCTACTCAGGAGGCTGAGGCAGGAGAATTGCCTGAACCCAGGAGGTGGAGGTTGCGGTGAGCCGAGATCGTGCCATTGCACTCCAGCCTGGGTAACAAGAGCGAAATTCCGTCCCAAAAAATAAATAAATAAATAAATAAACACACACACACACACACACACACACACACACACACAAAGAACAAAAATAAGAAATAAACACAGATTCTGATTTAAATATTTCAGAGTAAAACTCAGGATCTGTATTTGTACTTCTCCCCCAGGAAAATCCAATCTGCAGACAGAGCTGAAAAACACTCCTCTAAATAAATTAGAGAAATATGTATGCAAAAGAAATTTATGTTTATAAATCAGAAATTCTTTTAGAGCAAATAACCAAATTACTTATTCATGAATACTGTCTAAGTATGGGGGAGTTTTAGATATTGATTTTTCTTGAAAAGAATCTTGTTGGCTAACGCCCTTTTCGGCATTAGCCCACCTGCACCCAGATTAATTAAAAAAAAAAAAAGAATCTTGTCAGTATTTAACCTATGAAAATGCAAATGAGGCCCGGATAGGTGGCTCACACCTATAATCCCAGCACTTTGGGAGGCAGAGGCAGGCGGATCACAAGGTGAGGTGTTTGAGACCAGTCTGGCCAACATAGGGAAACCCTGTCTCTACTAAAAATATAAAAAATTAGCCCGGTGTGGTGTTGGCGCCTGTAATCCTACCTACTCAGGAGGCTGAGGCAGGAGGTTCACTTGAACCTGGGAGGCGGAGGGTGCAGTGAGCTGAGATCGCACCACTGCACACCAACTGACGCAACAGTTCGACACTCTGCTCAAAAAAAGAAAGGAAAAGCTTCCTTTCGGCCAGAACCGCCATCTTCCAGTAATTCGCCAAAATGACGAACACAAAGGGAAAGAGGAGAGGCACTCAATACATGTTCTCTAGGCCTTTCAGAAAACATGGAGTTGTTCCTTTGGCCACGTATATGCGAATCTATAAGAAAGGTGATATTGTGGACATCAAGGGAATGGGTAGTGTTCAAAAAGGAATGCCCCACAAATGTTATCATGGCAAAACTGGAAGAGTCTACAATGTTACCCAGCATGCTGTTGGCATTGTTGTAAACAAACAAGTTAAGGGCAAGATTCTTGCCAAGAGAATTAATGTGCGTATTGAGCACATCAGGCATTCTAAGAGCCGAGATAGCTTCCTAAAACGTGTGAAGGAAAATGATCAGAAAAAGAAAGAAGCCAAAGAGAAAGGTACCTGGGTCCAACTGAAGCGCCAGCCTGCTCCACCCAGAGAAGCACACTTTGTGAGAACCAACGGAAAGGAGCCTGAGCTGCTGGAACCTATTCCCTATGAATTCATGGCATAATAGGTGTTAAAAAAAATAAAAGACCTCTGGACTGAAAAAAAAAAAGAAAGGAAAATGCAAATGAACACATAATACCTGCAAAGCAAGAAGTCATCTTCCTTTTAATGTTTTTTGTTTTTTGTTTTGTTTTGTTTTGTTTTCAGACAGAGTTTGGCTCGTGTTGCCCAGATGAAGTGCAATGGCATGATCTCAGTTCACCACAATCTCTGCCTCCCGGGTTCAAACGATTCTCCTGCCTCAGCCTCCCAAGTAGCTGGGATTACAGGAATGCGCCACCATGCCCAGCTAATTTTGTATTTTTAGTAGAAATAGGGTTTTTGTGATCCGCCTGCCTTAGCCTCCCAAAGTCCTGGGATTACAGGCGTGAGTCACCGTGCTCAGCTCCTTTTTATGTTTTATTTGCCTTTGTTTTGCCTGTCGTGACCACCTTGTGGTACAAAAAAAAAAAAAAAAAAAAAGTGAAATAAAAAAGTTAAACACGATCATTTCTGCTTACATTTACAGTTCATTTCATCTCTGCAAAATGTTTTCCCATCTGCTATCATTGCCCCCGTCCTCACAGCAGCCCTGTGAGAAAGGCAGAGCCAGAATTATCATCTCCACTTCGTGTATGGGTGATCTGAGGCCCAGTTAAGAAAAGCGGCTTTACTGAGGTCAGAGTTGGTTGCTGGAGGCACTGGCAAAGGAATCCAGGCTCCAGCCCCTTTCTCTGCCTCCTGCCATCTTCCAGTTGCTTTTTCCCACTCTTTTTTTCTCTCTGCCTTGGACTCTCTTTCTACTTCAACTTTCCTCTCCTTGCTCAAACCCTCAGATTGGAGTCAGCTTTGCAAGCTGTCCAAACTTTTTGTCACTCTGGAAACCCATCAGCCCCATGGCCACATCCCCATTTCACCATGAACTCAGCATCTCTATCTAGAGCAAGCCCTTTCCGGATGCCAGCATGTAGAGATCAACTCTGGCCTCTCTATCTGGCCCCACATAAGATAAGATAAGGGAAGTAGCACTATAAATAGGCCCCCATCCTTCTCCAGGCCCAGCCCAGGCCCTGGCCAGTTCAGGCTACACCATCCCAGGATCAGCATGGCTGTCTACCAGTGGGTAGTCACTCTGACCTTGGCTGCCCTCCTTGTTGTGGACAGGGGTGAGTGGGCAGAACCTGGATTCTCTGTGACTTCCTGTTGGTAGGTGAGCTGGGGGTGGGAGCAGAGGCAGGGCATGGAGCACCTTGTGAGTCCTCAGCTTGTGGCATGCACCTTCATTCTGCATATGCACCTCCACTGTTTCGGGGAAGCTCTGGCCTGGGAGAAAAGAAACGGGTTCAAATCCTGACTCTGGCCCAGAATTGCCAAAGTCCCCTACCCTCTTGGGGCCTCAGTTTCTCCAGCTGTACAGGAGGAGATGGTTCCAGTTCAAGCTGCACTGAGCAACTACTGGGCTGGAGGTTGTGGGGGCAGAAGAGAGCAGGTGGGTCCCAGCTCTCAGGAGAGACTGACCAGTGTGCTGGCTGCAGGGGGTAGGTGCTAAAAAAGATCTGGCTGAGTTCTTCTGAGCTCCCTACCTCTCTGAAAGGTTGTGGTTTGTGACTTGGGAAACCATGTGAGCATGAGAGAGCCCTTTCCCAGGCCTGGACACATATACCTGGGGCTCCCAAAGCGCTGGGAATTATAGGAAAGAGCCACCACAACAGCCTATTTTTTATTTTTATTTATTTATTTTTTGAGACAGTTTCTAGCTCCGTCACCCAGGCTGGAATGCAGTGGCACTATCTTGGCTCATGGCACCCTCTGCCTCCTGGGTTCAAGTGATTCTCCTGCCTCTGCCTCCTGAGTAGCTGGGATTACAAGTGTGTGCCATCACACCCAGCTAATTTTTTGTATTTTTAGTAGAGACGGGTTTCACCATGTTGGCCAGGCTAGTCTCGAACTCCTGACCTCAAGTGATCCACCTGCCTTGGCCTTCTCCTAAAGTGCTGGGATTACAGGCATGAGCCATGGTGCCTGGCCCTTAGATGACCTTTAAAGTGCAACTCTCCTTTTATAAGATGATGTTTTTGCTTTAGGACAGGAAGTCATCATTAAATATTTGCTCTACCTGCCTAAGCAATGGAAAGATAGCTGCCACCTGCCTCAGAGGCATCCCTGGGACTGTGCAGTTTCCTGAGGAGAAACGGAAGGATTTGAAGCTGAGTCAAGGATCACTGGTGGCCTCAAGTTGGTCTTGGCCACAGATCTGGGGCTTCTCTTGGTCTGTAGAGGTAACTGGCTGGCTGGTGTCCTCAAAGGAACTGTTCTTTTTTTAATTAAATTTTTTTTTTTTTTTTTTTTTTTTTTTTTTTTGTAGAGCTGAGATCTTGCTATATTGCCCAGGCTGGTCTCTTCTGTCATCCAGGTTGGAGTGCAATGGTGCAATCTAGGCTCACTGCAGTCTCTACCTCCTGGATTCCAGTGATTCTCCTGCCTCAGCCTCCCAAGTAGCTGGGATTACAGGACTGCACCACCATGCCCAGCTAATTTTTGTATTTTTAGTAGAGATGGAGTTTTACTATGTTGGTCAGGTTGGTCTTGAACTCCTGACCTCAGGTGATCCACCCACCTTGGCCTCCCAAAGTGCTGGGATTACAGGTATGAGCCACCCCACCTGGCCCTAATTGTTAAATTATTTTGTAAAGACGGGATCTTGCTGTGTTGCCCAGGCTGGTCTCAAACTCCTGGCTTCAAGTGATCCTCCTGCCTCAGCCTCCCAAAGTGTTTTTTTTCTATCACAGATTAGTTGGCCTGGTCTAGGATTTCACATAAATTGAATCATAGGGTATGTAATCTTTTGTGTCTGGTTTCTTGTTTTTTTCTTTTTTTTTGAGACAGAGTCTCGTTCTGTTGCCAGGTGCCAGGTTGGAGTGCAGTGGCATGATCTCGGCTCACTGCAACCTCTGCCTTCCAGGTTCAAGCAATTCTCTTGCCTCAGCCTCCTGAGTGGCTGGGACTACAGGCACACGCCACTATGCCCAGCTAATTTTTGTATTTTTAGTAGAGAGGGGGTTTCACTATGTTGGCCAGGTTGGTCTTGAACTCCTGACCTGGTGCATGTAGAAAGAGTCAGGCTCTGGAGTGCAGCAGACCCATGTGCAAATCCTAGCTCTGCCTTAACAAACTGCATTGCTTCACCTCTTTGAGCCTCTTTTGTAGTTGCTTAAACCGACCTCTGCCCCAGGAAACAGACTCTGATATATGCATGCAGTTTACTGGGGAGTTCACTGAGTTCATGGGAGTAATATCCATGAAGGATGAGGGAGGTTGACTTCGATGCAGTGCAACAGAAGCTTCAGATGAGCCTATAGGCCACTTTGGACAAGGGGGTCAGGTGGCCTTCGTAACCACATCAACCCGACATGGGCTATGGGCTGTTCCTGGGTAGAGGAAGCAACCTTGACGAGGCAGCTCTATTCTCTGAAGGTAATTCCTAGAAGGGACTTGCAGTGAGTGGTCAATATTCCTGGAAGCTGGGGAAATGAGTAAATAAGTGCCTCGGTCTTGAGGGAGGGCTTTTGGTGGCAGAACACAGCATCCACTACTACCTCTTTTCTTCCCTCTGTTACACAAAGCTGTAAGAGAGAGGTGGAGAGTACTTAAAATCATGTGTTCTCAATGCCTGGCACATAATAACTGTGGAATTGTTATTTTATAATTATTATATGGTACACAACAATTCCAGTGGACCTAACTAACAAGGAATAGGCTGGACTGTCATTTCCCTAATTCCTGACTTTCTATCTCTGTGTATGGAACTCAAGATCACATCAGCTTTCTGGCAGCCCCATTGACTGGTGACTCACCACCTTTCCTTGAGGAATTCCAGGTTGGATAGTTGCTGGGCCATGCTCCCTGGAGAAGCAGTCCTCAGATCCCTAGACCTGGGATCCAGAGCTAGCATCATCTAATTCTTGCTTCTTTGTGTTTCAGAAGTGCCAGTGTCCGCAGGAAAGCTCTCTTTCACAAGAATGGTAAGGCAGCTGCATGCTGTTCTCGCTTTCCCTCTGCTGAGAGGAGCCCTCTCATCCATGCTGAGGAACCTGTTGTTCTTCTCCATGATCCTGCTCAGACACCTTCAATGGCTTCAACTTGGGCTCCTGGCCTGCACATTCCTCAGATTAGCCCCCAAGGCTGAGTAGGCCCAGCCCCCTCACCCAGGTCCCAAGATTGGCCTCAAAGCCCTTGTGATCCCCCCACCTGGTCTCCAAGGCCCCTTCCATCAGTGACATCTCCCCATGCAGGCTTAGCAGGACAGAGTGTGCTCTCTGCTCTGTATAGTGCAGACGGGCAAGCAACAGAGGGGACCCTGGCACACTGAATGCACCTGTGGAGTGTGCCAGCCTCCTCCCACCACATTCCATCTGATTGTCTAAACACCAAGTTACCCCTGAATCTGATTCTACCTTGGCCCTTGGTCTGATGTCCCCAGTGACCAGAAGGCAGTGGTGCAGATATCCTTGAGACCTTTGAGATTACCCCTTCACATAGGGGAATAAGGAGGCTCAGAGCCACCTTCCCATCTGGAGCCTCAGCATCCTCCCCATCAGTCCTTCAGAATCTAGACCCACTTATTCAGTGCAAAAGAGCCAAATACTTTACATACGTTATTTCAATTAGCCTACCTCAGAGGAACACCACCGTTTTTGGGCCTTCACGGCTACCTTTCTTACCCTATCCCTGTCTCAGGCTCTAATGCTGGTCCTGACCAAGTTCTGACCTTGACCTCAGGCTTGACCTAAAACCTTTTCAGACAGCCTCAATTAAGCCCCAAGCTCTGCCCCATTTCTCCAGCCTTCCCACCCTGTGTAGCCTTTCTGACATGGGCCTGATAGATCATGCAGGCCAGGGACAGTACAGGAGCCCCTAGGGAGAGAGGGGCCTCCTGGGAATGATGGGTGGTTCTGTGTCCTGGGGTCTTCAATGGAACTAGCAACAGAAGTTCTGGTTAGAGTCTTTGAAGAGGGTATGAACTATCCCCAGGTGCTAGAGGACACAAACTCACTCCACACACATTAACACAGGCATACGCGTGAATGCCTGCACACCTGGGCTCCAGAGACACAGGTACACATATGTACACACCCAGGCATAGGCATGCACGTGTGGTGGTCATGCACACACACATACAAGCAAACACACCAAGGGGTCCCGGGCGGTTGGTTTCATCTTCGCTGGACCCACACTGGGGCCTTCTTGACTCTGATACCTCCCTGGGGACTCTCTGGCTCTAAGCAGAACCCGTATCCCTCCCCACTGCCTCTGAAACCCTGAGTCCTCTCCCTCCCTTCTTCTCTTTCACAGCCCATCTGTGAACACATGGTAGAGTCTCCAACCTGTTCCCAGACATCCAACCTGGTCTGCGGCACTGATGGGGTCACATATACAAATGAATGCCAGCTCTGCTTGGCCCGGATGTAAGTTTGCCCCATAACCCCTGCTTTGTTGGGTGGACCCCCATCTCTGGTGCACAGTCTGAAAGGAGTAAGACTTGACCTGCTTCTTCCTTATACATGCTTGACCTGAGAGAAGTCCTCTAACATGTGCCCCTAATTGAATGAACACCAGATTAATTCAAAGAGGGCACATGGTTCCAAGCAGAAAGCTAGAAGCTGGTGGTAAGGAGTAGGGGCTGAAACCCTTTTCCTTGTTCTGCCCTGACTATGTGACCTCATTTGTTCTTTCATTCCTCTAGCCAGCAATTATTTTTTAAGCACTTACTATGTGCTAGGCACTGGGGCTAGAATAGAGCATAAGTTAGTCAGCATCAATGGCCTCCTGAACATACAATTGATGTAAAGGGGAAGCCAGGCTGATGGTCAGCCAATTGAAATGAACTCTCGCTGACCCAGGCTGGAGTACAGTGGCACGATCTCGGCTGATTGCAACCTCCACCTCCCAGGTTCAAGTGAATCTCCTGCCTCAGCCTCGTGAGTAGCTGGGATTACAGGGATTACAGGCACCTACCACAATGCCTGGCTAATTTTTTTTGTATTTTTAGTAGACATGGGGTTTTACCATGTTGGCCAGGCTGGTCTCGAACAATCTCAAGTGACCCACCCACCTCAGCCTCTTGAAGCGCTGAGATTACAGGCATAAGCCACCGCAACTGGCCTGCAGCACAAAATTCTAAGGGATCAGTGGGGCACATAGGATGTCATGGGAGTAGGGAAGAGGCAAGAGCAGGGAAGACTGCCTGGAGGAGGAGACTCCTGAACTCAACCCTGAGAAATAAGTAGAAATTAGCTAGGAAAAAGTAGCAAGGGAAGATAATTCCAAGTAGATGAGTTTGAAAATGTCTACAAGGAAAAGAAAATTTACATTTGAGGAAACATAAGAAATTGGACTTGTTGGAGTGTAAAGTTTAAGGGAGAATGGGGGAGAAATAAGAAGTGAGTCCAGGCCGGGCGCGGTGGCTCACGCCTATAATCCCAGCACTTTGGGAGGCCGAGGCGGGTGGATCACGAGGTCAAGAGATCGAGACCATCCTGGTCAACAAGGTGAAACCTCATCTCTACTAAAAATACAAAAATTAGCTGGGCATGATGGTGCGTGCCTGTAGTCCCAGCTACTCGGGAGGCTGAGGCAGGAGAATTGCTTGAACCCAGGAGGCGGAGGTTGCGTTGAGCCGAGATCGTGCCATTGCACTCCAGTCTGGGCAACAATAGCGAAACTCTATCTCAAAAAAAAAAAAAAAAAAAAAAAAAGAAGTGAGTCCAGAGAGATAAGCAGGGCTAGAACATAACCTCCCTACATCAGATCACCTATTGGCTCTTAGTTTCTTCATCAATAAAACCCATCTTCTGGCTGGGCATGGTGGTTCTCACCTGTAATCCCAGCTCTGAGGGAGGAAGAGGCAGGAGGATAGCTTGAGCTCAGGAGTTCAAGGCCTGCCTGGGCAATATAGTGAGACCCCGTTCTCCACAAAAAAACCCAAAAAAAACATAAAACTCATCTTTCTATGATCCTGAGAGCTAAAAGAGACCATGGCAGTGAAGAAAGTCCTTGGAAGCTGCAAAGCTGTGGATAGATGTGAAAGTTTGTATTTGAGGAAATATAAGGAACAGCAGGATGTTGTCCTGGCTTAGAGAAAGATCACGCTAATTAAAGACTCATGGTTAGAAGGTACATTGGGAGTAGAATTGACAGGCTTGGATGTGACTGGATGTAAAGGGTGAGGGGAAGGAGGCGACATACTGGTTTCTAATTTGTGGGCTTGGGTGGCCAGCGGTTTCATGTGCTGAATGGGTAGTTTGGGGGTCTGTACCAGTTCTGTTGGGGGGCAATGATGTTTGTGGACAGTTGAGCCTCTAGGACATCCCAGTGGATATGGACAACTGCATCAACAGGCAGGACAGAGGTCCAAGCTGGAGACAGATTTGGCAGCCGTCAGGGTGTGCAAAAGGGAAAAGCTATAGAAGGATGTGCCTATGGACCTTGGGATCTTCCCTGCATCTGTATACTGCATATATGAGCACCACTCAGCAGGATATCTGGATGGACTATGCTAGGTCCCTGAATGGTACATTACAGCTCCTGAGAAGGCGGCCTCATACCTGTCTTCTTTGATCCCAGAAAAACCAAACAGGACATCCAGATCACAAAAGATGGCAAATGCTGATCCTACAGGAGCACCTCAAGCCACGAAGTTTCAGGCTGAACAGTGGTGGAGAGGATATGATGTGAAATAAAAGATCCAGCCCAACTCTGTGAAGTGGTCAGTGTCTCTGGGGACACTGGTTGCAGAGGGGATAGGAGGTGGAGTTTGCATTGTTCTCTCTACTCTGAATTTGATGTCCAGCTTCTCCCCATCCCTCTGGTACTCCTCAACCCTGTCACATGTCCCCTCAGAGGTCCCAGTTATCTTCTGCCTGCCTGAAAGGCCAGTCGCTGACCCCAGGATGCTGCCTAGTGTTCCTGTCTGCCCCAGACTGGACTGTCACTCAGGCCAAAAACCTAGGTGAGATCTGTATTCTCTGCCACTGCCAGGGTGCATGGCCCAGCCTCAGAAAGCTTCTGTAAAATCAGGTGCAGTGGCTCACACCTGTAATCCCAGCACTTTGGGAGGCTGAGGGTTGCAGGATCGCTTGAGGCCAGCCTGGGCAACACAGCAAGACTGTCTTTACAATTTTTTTTTAATTAGCCAGGCATGGTGGCATGCACCTATAGTCCCAGCTACTCGGGAGGATCGCTTGAGCCTGGGAAGTGGAGGCTGTAGTGAGCCATGATCACACCACTGTACTCTGAATGACAGAGTGAAACCCTGTCTCAAAAAAAAAAAAAAAAAAAAAAAGGTTTGTGAGAGTCACCCTGTGCCCCCCATGGCTTCCTACTGGCCTATACCAGCACTCTAAGGCAGGCACACACATACACGTGACACACAGCAATGGCTGATATTCAGGCAGTGTACACAGTACAGCTGAACTGCTTGTCATAACATTGAACTAGGTTTTTCCACAATTGAAAACAGGTGCTGCCCCAAGGCCTTTGAGTGCCCCCCTCCCCCCTGTACCCTAGCCACTCAGATTATCCCCTGGAAACACCTGGGTCTCTAGGTGTCCAGGGTCTGGGATTAATTCCTGGCACTGCAGGATGATTTCCAGATGCTGCTCTGCTCTTTTGGTCAACATCCGCTCTGACTGATTGTCAAATATTCTGACATTAGACACAGCCCCAGGCACGTCCTGCACACATGCACTCACACAATGTCCCACAGGGACACACAGTGTTCAGAACTGTCACCATAGACAGAGACCCCCCTCTTGTGGCATATGTTGAATAGACAGAGCCTCTTGATAATGGTGGCAGGAGAAAGGAGTATGGAGAGAGGCCTGGGCAGGTGAGAGCAGTTTTACAGACTCCGATTCCTGCTGTAGAGTGGGCAGAAAGGGCACAGGAATGCACGAAGCTACCTTCCCCGGACCACTGGAATGGAAACACTGGACAGGAATTGTTGCTGATAGACTTGCAGGTGGCAGGACTAGGAGGCCATCTATGAATAAGGCCTTCCACTGGGACTGATAAACTTGTTTCATAACTGTTTATGAATGATGTAAGAAAGTTTGGCTGTGACAGCCAGAAAACCCAAAATAACAGTGACTTATAGACAGAATATAGTTTCTCCCACACATTGACCTATGTAGTATGACAACTCCACGCTCCTCTATTTTGTTACTTTGCCATCCTCATCAGTTTCTACCTCAGGCCCAAGACAGCTGCTCCAACTACAGCCATCACATCTGCATTCCAGGCCACAGAGAGAAAGGGCATGCCACCTGCCTCTGAAGACATTTCCCATAAGATGTACACACTCTGTATATACCCCATTAACTAAAATGTAGTCTCATGGCATTCTGAGCAGGGAGACTGAGAAATAGTCTCTCTGGTTGGCCATGCATTGAAGTAAAAATTAGTTCACTTTTTTAGGAGGAGAAAGTGGATATTGGTGACATCTAAAAGTTTCTACCCTAAGTGGGACACCCCTCTTATACCCAAGTGGCGCAGCCCAGCCAAACACCTCATCAGTGACCCTTCCTTCCCAGACTTCTACTCACCACCTGAGAAATCAGAGATTAAGCCTGAACAATGTGCCAGGCACCACCTGGAAGGAATACCTAATTCACCACTTACAGATGTGGACTCTGTGGTCCCATCTCTAGGAACTACCCCAAAACATTAAGTGTTGGCTCCTAAAGGCCATATCTATGGCATGTGACCCTGCTGCCCTGGCCATCGCTGATTAGCCAAAAGAATTCTCCCCAGGATCTTTCAAATCAGAAATAAGAAAACAGAGGCAGTTCCCCTCTGGCATTGGAGCTGTAGGATGAACAACACGGGGGTTGTTAGCAGTCACACTTCCTGCTTTGCGGAAGGAGCAGGAATGAGAAGATAACACAGACATGCAGAGGCAGAGTGATTACAGGCAGTGTTTGAGCTTCTGAAGCCCAGCTGCCCTTAACCTTCCCAAAGTTCATGGGGTGACTTGGTATGATGACCATCAAGTTCCTATTTTGCCCAGTCTCTTTGAAATTAGGTTTCTGGTACTTTCAACAAAGGTACTGACTACTATATAAAGCAGTCTCAGAAGAGGTAACCTTTAAGTTACCTTAAGTTACCAAGTGCCTTGAAGGATAAGTAGAAACCGTTAACTAAATGGACAATGTAGAGGCCAGGAACGGGTGGCTCATGCCTGTAATCCCAACACTTTGGCAGGCCGAGACAGACAGATTGCTTGAGCTCAGGAGTTTGAGACCAGTCTGGCCAATATGGTGAGACCCTGTCTCTACCAAAAATACAAAAAATTAGCCAGGCATGGTGGCATGCACCTGTGGTCCCAGCTACTTGGGAGGCTGAGGTGGGAGGATCGCTTGAACTCAGGAGGCAGAGGTTGAAGTGAACAGAGATCACGCCACTGCACTCTAGCCTGGGTGAGACAGCAAGACCCCATCTCGAAGAAAAACAAAATGAAACAAAACAAAACAAAACAACGTGAGAGAATCCTTCCAACTGTGAGGCTGAAGGATTAGTTTGTGGGAACACACATTCCCATCTGTTCTCCCAGCAGTAGGACTTACCATGTCCCAGGCAAGTGGGCAACTGAGACGGAGTGCTCTCTCCCCTTCTCATGGGAGAAGGGTTTCACAGGCAGAAACCCTTGGATGAGTAGATCTGTGTGGGTGCAGCCTGTGCAATCACCCAGCACATCTGCCCAGTAGGCTATGCCTTAGGGCTTCTTTTCTCAACCCTTAATGCAATAAAGGCTGTTAAGACTGAAAATTCCAATGCTGACAGAGATTTAGAGGCTAAATGCAGCTACGGAAATTTCATTATTGATGTATGCATTCAACATTAATTCGTTCTCCAAATATTTATTGAGGTCTTACTATATACAAAACAATATGCTTGAAATAACACTATTACCATGACGCTCCTTCACCCAAGGAACTGACAGTCTGGTTTTAAAGGCAAAGATTAACCAAATCATCCCACAAGTAAACTATCATGGACTATGTAAATGTTGTGAAAGAAACATATGGGAAGTCATGAGAGGATCCCAATTGGGGGCCTGATAGGGTCTCAAGACAGCAGGCAAGGGTTCTCCGTGGAAGAGACAAGTGCTTCTGAAGAATGAATAAGTCACCTATACAAGGATTGGGGTTGGAAAAAGGAAGGTGAGGAGCTGTCCAAGCAGAGGTAGCAGCAGGTACAAAGACACTCAGGCAGGAGAGGGCGTAGTGCATCTGAGGACCTGAAAGAAGAGTGGCTGACAGCAGAGAACAAACAAACGAGGGGCTTGAGATGAGATGGGAGAAGGCATAGGGTAAGGACTTCCACCTTTATAGTAAGAGAAGCGGTGAGCCACTGGAGGGTTCTAAGCAGGGGACTGACATGGTAAGATTTGCACTTTATGATCACTCGGGCTGCTCTGCCGAAAACGAACTAGAAAGGGCCAGAGAGGAAGTGGGAGCTAAAGGAAGAGGAAGAGAGGACAAAATCAGAGAATGGGCCTGTGCAACCCTGTGTTGGTTGAGAGGCAGTACAGTGGAGGTGAAAAGCACTGGCTCTGAAACCAAACCGCCCAGCTTTGTGTCTTGGCTTTGCCGCTTACTCTACAACTTTGAGTTAATGACCTAAGTTCTCTCGGTTTCCTCATCTCTAAAATGGGGATATCTGTTTATTTCTGAAGTTATGTGAGAATTAAATGACTGATATATATGAAAAATTTAGAATAGTGTTCTGCATACAGTAACTTCTCATTAAATGGCCCACACCATAGAGCTATCACACAAAAATAGATTAGTGAACCGCTCTGATTAAAGTTGGGGATGTGGTGGGCTGGGACCTGAGCCTTGTCCGCAAGTCTACCTCTACCACCTTGTCTGAGGTCTTACCCACCCAGTCCTAAATTCCTGGGAATTCAACGACTCCCTCTCTGTCAAATGATGTTGGTCTCAGAGTGGCCTTTTAGAAGTCTGTCTCCTGGACACTGTGCTAAAGAATAGGGTGACAGCAACTGATCATTTCAGGCAGAGTTCTAGCACACAGGGCTACTCTCAAATGTTATTAAGCATAAATTATGATTATAGCCATGAAAGGCTTTTCCTTATTGATCAAAAAAACAAACAAAACACTCTTCTACTTGACAATGAGCATATAAACAGCGGGGTTTTTTGTTTTTTTTTCCTATTTATTTATTTATTTATTTATTATTAATTTTTTTTTTTTATGTAGTTTCACTCTTGTTACCCAGGCTGGAGTGCAATGGCACGATCTCGGCTCACTGCAACCTCCGCCTCCTGGGTTCAGGCAATTCTCCTGCCTCAGCCTCCTGATTTTTATTTATTTAAATGTTGCCCAGACTAGACTCAAACTCCTGGGCTCAGGTGATCCTCTAGCCTCAGCCTCCCAAGTAGCTGGGACTACAGGAAGAGGCCACTGCACCCGACTCAATCATTTTTATTTTTTGAGACAGAATCTTGCTCTGTTACCTAGGCTGGAGTGTAGTGGCACAATCTTGGCTCATAGCCACCTCCACCTCCTGGATTCAAACAATTCTTGTGCCTCAGCATCTCCAGTAACTGAGATTATAGGCACATGCCACTATGCCTAGCTAATTTTTTTTTTTTTTTTTTTTACCCTGTTGCCAGGCTGGTCTCAAACTCCTGGCCTCAAGTGATCTTCCCACTTCAGCTTCCCAAAGTGCTAGGATT